CCTCAATGCTATCTGAAGAATCCCGGAACATGTTCCAGTCTGTGCTAGCAAAACAGTCATGTAGCTTAGCATCTGTGTCATCTGACCACTTTTTTATTAACCGAGTCACTGGTGCTTCCTGCTTTAGTTTTTGCTTATAAGCAGGAATCAGGAGGATAGAGTTATGGTCAGATTTGCCAAATGGAGGGCGAGGGAGAGCTTTGTATGCGTCTCTGTGTGTGGAGTAAAGGTGGTCTAAAGTTTTTTTTCCTCTGGTTGCACATTTAACATGCTGGTAGAAATTAGGTAGAACGGATTTAAGTTTCCCTGCATTAAAGCTAGCAATACTAATGTTAACTAGCTACAATACAGTGATCCTCTCAATTTTAGATAGCTGGTTAAAGTTATACTGCATCTAAAATCAATCTGGCGGCATCACAATCATGACAAATGCTTTTCCTACTAATTATTTGTATTTAAAATAAAATTGTATCGTGTTTCCAAGCCAAATCCGAGTTGTTTTGAGGTAGGCTAATGTTAGCCAACTAGTTAGGTAGGTAGCTAACTTCAGCAATTCTAACGATGATAGTGATAATGATTATAAAAATATACGCAACCAGATACATAACCAGCAGTCTATGGTCTAGCTACCGTTATACTCACCACCACTGGGGACCAACAAACTCCAACCACCTATTCCGCATTATAGGGTCCTTCGGCAGGGAATGCAAACCATAGTTGTTGGCTGTGCATCCTGCTGGAAACATGGATTGCATGATCAATCCGTATAGGGCTTTTCAGTCTCAAACGTCCGTGATCCTTTGGGGGCGATGAAGCAACAGAATCCCATTCAATGAAGGGAAGCGAAGTGGGCAGAGGGACGATGTGCACGTGGAGCTTGGCAAAAGGGAGCATGATTTGTTGACATAATTATAATCCAAACCCAACCTTCATTTACTCGTTGTGACGCACTGAGTTTCCAAACTCCATTTTAAACGAGACTGACTTTATGACAAATGATCCTATTTACACTTTGTAGTCAATTATTTACACACTAGAATAAATGTTTCTGACTCATATCGATGCCACATAGGCCGTTTTCAAAGGAATTAGGTGGTTTTTAGGGGCAGTCGCTCTTCAAAACATTTCTAGCCTGTCTATCTATTGGTAACAGGGTTGACGTGTTACGCTCGACCGTTCAGTTTTTCACCACAAAACATCAGACAATTGCCAAAAAGAGTACAACCAGCTCGTTAACAGTTTACTTGAGAAAGATAGGACATCCAGCCAACTTGACACAACTGGTAATGGGAGAGAGATGGCGGACTGAAGATGGCAGTGCAGAATGCCTCATAAGAAATCGCAATATTCAATATCTCTAAAATGTACAAAATAATAGCACTACACTGATCTATTTACTCATGGGCAATAACATTCAAGCTGGATAATAACCCCAAAAAAGGACAAATGCAGTCAAGGCCAAAACATGTCGGAGAGGAACCAGGGAAAAAAATGGAGAACAAAACTCCAAGAGAAAACTACGAGATTCCTCGACAGACTGATGATTTATGCTTTTCACAACCTGGTACGGTAAGAGTGGAAACCGACCTGCTAAAGTCAATAAATGATAAATTGGGCATACTTGAACTTGTCAGTAAAGAGATGAAGGAGAGCCTCGAAATGAGTGACGGAAAAGCTGCGACAATTAAGAAAGAAACAAACAAGCTAAAACGCACAGTCAACACTATTGAAACGGATGTTAAAGAACTTAAAAAGGAGAACATGTTTCTGAGAGAAGCCTTACGTGGAATACAGACTAGATCCATGCGAGAAAATCTGAAACTTACTGGTATTAAAGAAAATGAGGGTGAAGACACGAGCGCCCAATCGTTGCCAAATGTGTATTCTTTACAGATAACCATTATTTTATCACTAGAACCGCCTGGCCTTTCAGCATATAAGTACCCACTAGAGAACGTTGCCAGGCGTCCCTTTAGCATATGCATCAGATGCATATCAACCTGCAAGGTGCACAAACATGCTTGATAAATAGTGCATAAACTATTGTAAAGGATGAATTGCATGAAGACATATTCATGGTAATATATCAATAATAAATAAATAACAATAGTTATTTGTTTAGATAGAGTCAAGGATATGTTCTGTATAATTTTACAAAGTCCTAGAAAAAATGTAGGCCTATATCCTATTTTCATTTCCCTTACAAAAGAAACATTACAGTGTAATCCATTTGATCAACTTTATTTGTAGATTTGATTAGTAATACAGTTATAGTAATTAATAAAGTCCAGTTACAGCTTCTTTTGACAAAGTAGAAACAAAAAAGATGATAATAATAATATAACCAGCCAGGTGCGCAGTTGAAATTATTTGCTGTATTCCTGAACAAAAGCACCAGTGCATGAACAATTGTAAAGGATTAATTACATAAATACATATTTGTGGAAACATATTCATGACAAGATATAAAAAGTAATTTGTTGATTGTATCAGACACTGTATTGTGCCCTTATACCCATGCCTTTACACATGAATCAATCGCGTCTTCTCTTTATGCTTCGGGTCCACAGTCAGTAAACAGCTTCAGGGTTTTGTGTGAGCAAGTCCCACAAACAAATCGGTTGCACTGCACACCGTTTTCATGGGCCTTGTTTCGTGTGCACCTGCCGACTTGACATTGTGTCTTATTTTTCCCATGTGGGAGCTGTGGTGCTTAGGGAACAGGGAGAGCAGCACTTGCTGCCTTGGCGGCCTGCTTGGCGGCTGTAGCTTCTTTCTTGGCGTTCATGTGGCTCACATGCCAGATCCAGTGGGATGCATGGTGCTGAGGATGCAAACGCTCTTATTTATTTTACATCTGTACACTATGAGTGTTTCTTTACCACTCTCCATCACTGATGTGGAGTACAGCTCCGCTGGTATGTTGTTTTGCGCAGAGGGGGGAAGTTCCCGCCTTTGTTTATTCACTGTTCCGAGCAGGCTAGTCTTTGCAATCAACTTGTCTGCCAGGAAAATTGATGTGAAGAAGTTGTCCATGGTCACATTTCTGTCTTTGGCTGTGTAAGGCCCCACGGGTCTCAGAACCACAGTCTCAAACAGTCGCTCTCCCGCTGGCCTGGTTTAATCTTTCCCCTGATATGGAAAGACATTGAGTAAGTACTTGGTTTCGACATCAGCGGCTAGCCAAAACTTAAATATAGTCACATGTACTGTTATCAGTTTCTATCTGGTTTCTATCGTCCATTAATCCATTGATAACATATTGTAATTCTATGTTTATTATGTTACCAGTTTTTGCTTAGTAGCCAGAGCAATGCTCCCGCATGAGTGGTCATGTGCTGAATGCATGGACAGCACGGATATTCTTGGAAAAAATGACATTTGGAAAAAAGAGCTGCGCCTCTTGAAGTTTGAGAGTTATTTGACAAAGGTAAGTGTCATAGAAATTGCAGAATATGCTCTTTCAGATACTATATAGAAATCACAATGTTTTACCTGCATGTGACTCTGAAGGAGGATTTGATTAAGCAATGCTCATTTCCCTGCATCTGTCAATTACAAGATGTGTCCATCTCTTCATGTACGATTTGAAAAGTAATATTGTCACTCATCAGATTATTGTCAATGTAATCTTGTCTATAGGCTAACTCTTATTATGTGTGAAATTAGTTTCGGTATAGTTTAGGTGTAGTTTCGATAGGCCGGCTGTCCAGGCTGACTGGCATCGTTTGTTTCCCGCTCATCAACTTGGATAGAGTGTAAGGACTGACACTGGGAGACGAGAAGCATAACATGGACAGTATCTAGACAGGGGAAATATAATGACATTAATGCTGACAAGGGGATCACAACTGAGGAACAGACATATATAGGGGCGGTAATTAAACAGTGATGAAGTCCAGGTGAGTCCAATGAAGCGCAGCTGTGCGTAACGATGGTGACAGGTGTGCGTAATGATGGGCAGCCAGGGGCCCTCGAGCGCCAGGGAGGGGGAGCGGGAGCAGACGTGACAGTACCCCCCCCCCCCCTCTAGGGACACCTTTTGGCGTACCACCTGGGCGGGCCTGACAGGCTGGCCGAGGCATGGGAGCCTCACGAGCAAGCTGAGGTGCGGGAACCTGTCAAGCCTGATGGACCGGCCGAGGTGTGGGAGTCTGAAGAGCCGGACGAGGCGTGGGAGCCTGACGAGCCAGCTGAGGCGTGGAAGCCTGACGAGCCAGCTGAGGCGTGGAAGCCTGACGAGCTGGCTGAGGCATGGAAGCCTGACGAGTCGGCTGAGGCGTGGGAGCCTGACGAGCTGGCTGAGGCGTGGAAAGTCTGACGAGCCAGCTGAGGCATGGGGTGGGAGCCTGCCGAGCCAACGGAGGCAAGAAACCTCTCGAGCCAGCGAAGGCATGGAAGCCTGACGAGCCAGCTGAGGCATCCCCGGTTCCCTCGGCCACAGCACCTGGACCTGACGTCACCAACCAACACACACAAAAAAAAACTCCCTGATGCCTCCAATATTGGTGGCAGCATTCTGTAAGGACAGACACTGGGAGACGAGAAGCAAGTACAGGGAGTTAACATTTAATATATACAGACAAGAAACAAAACACAGACAATGTCTGAACAGGGGAAACATAACGACATTAATGCTGACATGGGGATCACAACTGAGGAACAGACAGATATAGGGGCGGTAATTAAACAGTGATGAAGGCTAGCTAGATCAAGTAACATAGTTTTTTCTCATTGTAATATTAAATGGTGGTCACAAACGCTCACTTAACTAATGTTGTTTATAGCTTTAAAATTAGGATCCTATACCTTAAGGATTCAGTGATTGTAGTTATGTAGCTAAGTAACTGTCTTTCTCTTTTCCTTTTCTTCTTATTTCAGAGAAAGCATGTACACCATCTTAAGAAGTATGGAGAACTGATGGCAAACACACTGAAGAGAAAACATGCCCCTAACACTCCCTCCACCATCAAGCAGAGCACATTACTGAAGACAGTGTCTCAAAAATCCATCAACAAAGCTGTGTTGAAGTATGTGGTCCAAGGGCTCCAACCATTCACTGTTGTACATTTACATTTACATTTTAGTCATTTAGCAGACGCTCTTATCCAGAGCGACTTACAGTTAGTGAGTACATACATTTTACATTTTTTTTATACTGGAATCGAACCCACAACCCTGGTGTTGCAAATGCCATGCTCTACCAACTGAGCTACATCCCTGCCGGCCATTCCATCCCCTACCCTGGACGACGCTGGGCCAATTGTGCGCCGCCCCATGGGTCTCCCGGTCGCGGCCGGCTACGACAGAGCCTGGATTCGAACCAGGATCTCTAGTGGCACAGCTAGAACAGGAACCGTTCAGAGAGTTTGTCGAGGATCTGCAGCCTAACTCAAAGGTCTTATCAAGGCCCACACTGCGCTCCAGGATTGATGAAGCCTCCACGGAAATGAAGAAGAAGGTGACTGAGGCCATGAGAGGACTTGACCACATCGCCACCACCACCGACTGCTGGTCTGCAAGAAGACGGAGCTTCATTGATGTTACAGCCCACTGGATAGACCCTGACAGTCTCATCAGATGCTCTGCAGCCCTGGCCTGTAAACGGTTGAGAGGATCGCACACCTTTGATGTGTTGGCAGGCGCCCTAAATGACATCCATTCTGAGTTTGAAATCCGGGGTAAGATTGAGAGAACAACAACAGACAACGGCTCTAACTTCTTGAGAAGATTAAAACAACGAGGCAGTGGAAGCAGTGGGTGGTGAAGCAGCTCAGCCAGGACAGGAAGATGGTGAAGAGGAACAAGAGGAGAGTGAAGAAGTGGAGTTTGTTGATGTGGCAACGATCCTGAATGAAGATTATGGTTTTGAGTACCAGCTCCCGAAACACCAGCGCTGTGCTTGCCACCTACTCAACTTAGTACCTACCAGGGGCGGCCTGTTCAATAGGGCGATATGGGCGACGCACTGCCAAACGGGAAAAGGAAGGGATTTTTTTTCTAATCAATTATATCACGGCAACAGTAGTTATCAGTGTTGTAATCTATACGTCTGATCTGCCACAGTGCCACACTGCCACTAAATGTCGAATCAGGCTAAAGTCGTGCTTCAAATGGCTCCCCCCCCTTTTGGGGCGATTTCAGTCAGGTTGAAAATCGCCCAGAAGTCTGTAATAGACTCCCATGTAAAATCTATTTTTTTCAAATTTCAGAGCCTTCAATACAATCTCAATGGGTGTCTGTGGGCTTGCACTTACGCGCTTTCGTCATACGTTACGTAACCATGAACGTAACTGAGAAAAGAGTGGATTGTTTGAAAGAAGTTCCTTTTTGTCGGCGAACAAATGGAGATAAATTGGCAACGAAACAATTAGGACCTCCCAGACCAAATTTAATAATTCAACAGGTTTCTACTAAAGGCGGAAAGTCCTACACCCGAGGATTTTCCAAAAATTGGTACGAACGAAAAAAGACATTGCCACTCACTCAACTGGATGACGAGGGATACAGGCTAGCTGTCCGCCGCCACAACGATGAGGTTAGTGTTGATAATCACAAGTTTACTGGATGTGGATATGGTGTAATAAAGGCAGTTTATTCAGAGGTAAATATATCTGGAATCGCGTTCACGGACCCGTTCGTCAAACTCTTAGGGAGCTATAAATTAAGCCCCATTACTTACCATATCAGATAAGAGAAATTGCTGCAGCTACATATATTTTACATCCTGGCCCTACATAGTTCACTATTTGCATCACTTACCAAAATATTACATGTGGTCATATATGCTTGGAAAGTGGAGATGCCATAGAACGTCAAAAAAGTAAACATTGCTGGAGACACATTGCCGTTTTGGAGAAGACATCGCGTTTGCTAGCGAAGAGATTTGTTGTGGCAAATGAACTTGGGCTGGGAATTGCCAGGAACCTCACGATAAGATATATGCATCAGCATTGCGAGTCTCATGATTCTATACGTATTGCGATTCGATACTGTGATTTTATTGCGCACCATATGTCTGTTGCAGAGCGATCAGAAAGCCATGAGAACGAGTTTTGATCAGTCATGGAAATAAAAGTGCTGAAAACAAATTTGCTCCCAATGTGAAAAGATTGAGAACAAGCTATGAAGGAACAATAATGGTGTTTTGGTGCAGGTACAGCCAACTAGCGCTAAAATATTGCGATATTGTCAATACAGTATATCGTAAAGTATCACTATGTAACTCGATTTCTTTCACCCCAATCCCTCAAATTAACGGTAAATAACTGAATTGTTTGCCCCACATTTAGCTAAGATGATTAGCTAGCCAGCTAAAATGTTTTATTTAGTTAGCAGTCGCATCTACAATAGTTTACTGTCAATAACATGTCTCCAAAAATGACGTGGTGTCTCCAATTGTGTTGACATTTTACAATTGCAATGCGCATCCATGAGTATCCACTTTCTGTAGCTCAGCTGGTAGAGCATGGTGCTTGTAACGCCAAGGTAGTGGGTTCGATCCCCGGGACCACCCATACACAAAAATGTATGCACGCATGACTGTAAGTCGCTTTGGATAAAAGCGTCTGCTAAATGGCATATTATTATTATTATTATTATTATCTGAAGAGAGCCCCGAAACATTGTGTGCAGACATTTTATGCAATAAATGAAGTAGGTTCAATCTAGTAGTTCTGATCTTCTGATTGGTCCTGATGAGTTGGGCGAGGTCCCCTGCAGGCTACTGTCACTGTTGCATTGGCTCTGAGTCGGGTTCTCTGTCTTCAAATGTTCAGCCTAAGAGAGGGGATTTTTGTGTGTGTGTGTGTGTGTTTAACAGTGATGATGTGTGTGTGTGTGTGTGTGTGTTTAACAGTGATGATGTGTGTGTGTGTGTGTGTTTGTGTGTGTGTGTGTCCTCAGAGCAAGAACTCGTGAGTTGGAAGAACTGAGAGGCCTATGGCGTGGGTGTTGTCCTTGGCCACCTGCTGACAAGGCTGACAAGATAGGACCCTTTTGTCCATTGTTATTGGATAGGAACAGAACTTATAACCAGCTCCTGACCTAAATAGATCTTAGCACAACATTTTACTCAACATATCATATTCCATATTCACTATAACAAATATATTTACTACGACATTAGCAAGAACCGCCACATCCTCAGCCGGCTAATCCAGTGTGTGAAGTTTTGCGGAGTGTTTGAGTTAGCTTTGCGAGGCAAAGATGAAACTGAGGGCTCCACCAACCCTGGTAAGCCAACACTTTTGAGATCAGTCAATAAATGCTTCTGGTATTGACTTATATGCTGCCCCTGTCTTCATGTTGTTGCTGGACATATCTTTTTTTAAATGTGTGTAGGTCACCTAAATCATCAGAAAAATTGCCCCTCCTGAGAATTTTTTCAGGAGCCGCCACTGGTACCTACAGTCAATGCCCTGAAAGCAACATCCAGTGAGGCTTACAAAAAAGGGTCCCACTCAACATTTGGCAAGTGCCAAGCACTTTGGAACAAATGCGGAAGATCCACACTTGCAGCCGATACGGTTGAAGATGCTTGCGACCTCCAGCTGCTGCGCCCGAATGCTACAAGGTGGAACTCCTGGTTCATGGCTGTAGAAAGACTCCTGAGGATCGTCAAAGACAAAGGAGAGGCGGCCGTCAGAGTTCTCTCCACAGACTTCGGGGTTCCAATGTAAGTAAGGATTGTGTATTATTTTGTCATAATTTAAGGTCTTGAATGTTGTCTAAATCTGTTGCAGTGTTTCCTGACCCTTTGCTTGGGGACTAATAACTGTTTCACATGTTGTAGCCATACACTATCATTGATCCATTTAGTCAACTACTCATCCAGCCATTGATTACTGCAGTTAAATCAGGTGAAATGGTTAGTGGTCCCCTTTGTATAGGGTTAGGAAACAGTTTTATTATATACATATTATTTTTTTCATAGGTTCAATCCAGCTGAACTCGCCTTCCTCACAGAGTATGCTGCCACCATGAGCCCAGTCGCAAAGGCCATCAACATCCTGCAGGCTGAAACCAATGTCCAGATGGGGTGGCTACTTCCAACTATCAACCTGCTGATCATAAAAGTTGACCGAATCAAGTTGTCCCTGAAGTACTGTAAGCCTCTGGTGGATGTGCTACAACTGGGACTGAAGAAGCGCTTCAGCCACATATTTCACGACCCTGAGCTGATCGCAGCTGCAATCCTTCTCCCCAAATTCAAAACAACGTGGACAAAGGATGACGCCACCATCAGAATGGGTAAGACAACGTGGTTAATTAACAGTATTTTATTATTCATAAACAACTGTGTATAGTGTACATTTTGACCCTTCATATATTTGAGAACCACCCATTTAAATTATAATCCTGACTTTGAACTGTAAATACTTCAACTTAACGCTTGCAAGCCCAAGGACACGGATGCCTTATGCGTTTTGTTAATTTATGTTTAAAATTCACAAGTTAACACACAAGTGTCCTTGTTACAAAGGCATGACCTGACACACTGATTTCTAATACAGTTTTATCAGTGGTGATGTCCTCATATTCCTACAGTGAGGTTGTGTGCAGTTCTGTACATGTACTTTTGATAAACTCATCCCCAAAATTTTTTTATGTATAAGGTTCTATTATAAGATGTTTTTTCTAAAGCAAAGTGACTGTGATTGTAAGTGCTTACGTTTACTGGCTATATTCCTTCATTATTAAGGCATAATTCTATTTTGTCTGTAAGAGATGTATTTTGAAGTGTTGCCTACTTGAGAATCCATGATCTTTTTTTTTTCTGAGCTCTTCTTGTATCCGTAAGACTGTTACCTTTCAGAAAAGCTCAAACCAAATAAAAGGTCTGGCTGTTTTGCTTTTTGGATTTACGGCTCTTACGTTTCATACTTTTACTTTTGATACTTAAGTAAATTTTCCTTATGCTATTTAATATCAGGACTTTAAGACTTTTACTCAAGTAGTATTCTAATGGGTGACTTTCACTTTTAGTTGAGTCATTTTCCAGTAAGGTATCTTTACTTTTACTCAAGTATGGCTTTTGGGTACTTTTTCCACCACTGTACTTAAGTACACTTAAAAACAGATACTTTTAGACTTTTACTCAAGTAGTATTTTACTTGGTGACTTTCACTTTCAGTGAGGAGAGAGAGACGCATTAGAGCCTAGCTGGGTTCCCACGTCCTACAGCACATTGTCTTGGCGGATTAAGTTAGGAGTAGGTGTGAAAAAGACATGTAAAAAGGCTCAAAATACTTTTCTGTTTGTGATTTCAAAATTCTGACAAATGAGCAGTGTAAAATACAAACATTTAGGAAAAGTCATGGAAGGAGCAGGACATAGCTTTTTTGAGGGGGCAATTTTTATTTATTTACAATATCAAACATCAGTGGCCGTTGGCCAATGGCGGTTCTAGTGTTAAAAGCCTGGGCAAAAGTCTCGCTGGCATGAAAACAGGAATGAATGATCAGTACCCAAAGTTCTGTACCCACTCTTCAAGGTGAATAGACTTAAAGGGAAATGTGTAGCTCTCGTAGTCGAAAAACTGTACATTGATAATCAACTGTTCCGAGACACCAAGATTACTCCATGGCTATTCTAAATAATACAAAGTTCATATAGAGGAGTCGAATAATGGAACACCAAATACTATCCATGGAAGGGATTGTAATAAAAAAAACAGGAAAACAATCAAATACAATAATTGATAAAGAAATAAACTACAAATACAGTCGTGGTCAAAAGTTTTGAGAATGACTCAAATATTAAATTTCATAAAGTCTGCTGCCTCAGTTTTTATGATTGGAATTTGCATATACTCCAGAATGTTATGAAGAGTGATCAGATGGATTGCAATTAATTGCAAAGTCCCTCTTTGCCATGAAAATGAACTTAATCCCCCAAAAACATTTCCACTGCATTTCAGCCCTGCCAAAAAAAGGACCAGCTGAAATAATGTCAGTGATTCTCTCGTTAACACAGGTGAGAGTGTTGACGAGGACAAGGCTGGAGATCACTCTGTCATGCTGATTGAGTTAGAATAACAGACTGGAAGCTTTAAAAGGAGGGTGGCGCTTGAAATCATTGTTCTTCCTCTGTTAACCATGGTTACCTGCAAGGAGACACGTGCCGTCATCATTGCTTTGCACAAAAAGGACTTCAGACAAGGATATTGCTGCTAGTAAGATTACACCTAAATCAACCATTTATCGGATCATCAAGAACTTCAAGGAGAGAGGTTCAATTGTTGTGAAGAAGGCTTCAGGGCACCCAAGAAAGTCCAGCAAGTGCCAGGACCGTGTCCTAAAGATGATTCAGCTGCAGGATCGGGGCACCACCAGTGCAGAGCTTGCTCAGGAATGGCAGCAGGCAGGTGTGAGTGCATCTGCACGCACAGTGAGGCAAAGACTTTTAGAGGATGGCCTTGTGTCAAGAAGGGCAGTGAGGAAGCCACTTGTCAACAGGAAAAACATCAGGGACAGACTGATATTCTGGAAAAGGTACAGGGATTGGACTGCTGAGGACTGGGGTAAAGTAATTTTCTCTGATGAATCCCCTTTCCGATTGTTTGGGGCATACGGAAAAAAGCTTGTCCGGAGAAGACAAGGTGAGCGCTACCATCAGTCCTGTGTCATGCCAACAGTAAAGCATCATGAGACCATTCATGTGTGGGGTTGCTTCTCAGCCAAGGGAGTGGGCTCACTCACAATTTTGCCTAAGAACACAGAATGGTACCAACACATCCTCCGAGAGCAACTTCTCCCAACCATCCAAGAAAAGTTTGGTGATGAACAATGCCTTTTCCAGCATGATGGAGCACCTTCCCATAAGGCAAAAGTGATAACTAAGTGGCTCGGGGAACAAAACATCGAAATCTTGGGTCCATGGCCAGGAAACTCCCCAGACCTTAATCCCATTGAGAACTTGTGGTCAATCCTCAAGAGGCGGGTGGACAAACAAAAACCCACAAATTCTGACAAACTCCAAGCATTGATTATGCAAGAATGGGCTGCCATCAGTCAGGATGTGGACCAGAAGTTAATTGACAGCATGCCAGGGCGGTTTGCAGTGGTCTTGAAAAAGAAGGGTCAACACTGCAAATATTAACTCTTTGCATAAACGTAATGTAATTGTCAATAAAAGCCTTTGACACTTATGGAATGCTTGTAATTATACTTCAGTATACCATAATAACATCTGACAAAAATATCTAAAAACACTGAAGCAGCAAACTTAGTCAAGAACAATACTTGTGTAATTCTCAAAACTTTTGACCACGACTATATCATTCAAGATAGGGAATGTTGTAAAATAATTAGAAATCGACTTTCTATTCATTGTATTTATAAATAGATAAAAGACAGCATTAGAAGAAAGGATAATTATTGAAATAATACATCTTCAAATATAAGGAACTGGAACACAAAAGCACTTAAATTCCCAGAACTAGGTAGGAATCAACATGGTAGGGATAAAAACACAGCAAACAGAGGACCTAGAAGGCACAGGATGTGGTTGTGTGTGGGTGTATTTTTTTGTGTTTGGAAAAGTGTGGAGTTGAGTGAGTGAAAAAGGAAAATGGTTGCAAACGCCAGAGCCCATCAGTGGAGGCTCCTCAGAGGAGGAAGGGGAGGACCATCCTCCTCAGTGAATTTCATTAAAATATGTATTTTTTAAACATTTAAAACGTTATCCTTTTTAGATAAAAACTACACTAACTGTATTCACGTCACCAAATAATTGATTAAAACACTGTTTTGCAATGAATGTCTACTGTGATGAGTGTGATAGAAGGAGTCAGGCGCAGGAGGGTATTCACTGAATGCAGAGTTTATTCCGTCGTACACAAATAGCGCTGGATAGCGACAAACGAAACAGGCACAGGGGAAAATCTACCCTGGCAATACAAGGTACAAGTAGCTCCACCGAGCTACACTACTCTCACAATTAACAATCACCCACAAGGATAAGGGTGGCAGAGGGAACACTTATACACAGAATAATGAGGGGATAAGAACCAGGTGTGTGTGATTGACAAGACAAGGAGGGGAGGCAGCCTCGGAGGAAGTCGTGACAGTACCACCCCCCCTTGACACGCAGCTCCAGCAGCGTGCCGACCCTGGCCTCGGGGACGGCCAGGAGGACACGGAGCAGGGCGAGCCTGATGGCAACGGTGGAAATCTCGCAACAGGGAGGGATCGAGGATATCCCTCACCGGGACCCAGCACCGTTCCTCCGGACCGTACCCCTCCCACTCCACGAGGTACTGAAGGCCCCCCATCCGACGCCTCGAATCCAGGATGGAATGGACAGAGTACACCGGGGCCCCCTCGATGTCCAGAGGAGGTGGAGGAACCTCCCGCACCTCAGACTCCTGGAGTCTATTGTGGCCTGAGGAGAGACACATGAAACGAGGGGTTAATACAGTGATCAGGGGGAAGTAATAACCAATAAGTGACCTCGTTGATTCTCCTCAGGACTTTGAACAGCCCCACAAACCGCGGGATCAGCTTCCGGAAGGGCAGGTGGAGGGGCAGATTCCGGGTCGAGAGCCAGACCCGATCCCCCGGTACGAAGACCGGGGCCTCACTGTGGTGACGGTCAGCGTTGGCCTTCTGAAGACGCACAGCGCGCTGGAAGTGAACGTGGGCAGCGTCCCATGTCTCCTCTGTGCGCCGAAACCAGTCATCCACCGCAGGAGCCTCAGTCTGGCTCTGGTGCCACGGTGCCAGAACCGGTTGGTAACTTAAAACACATTGGAATGGCGTTAGATTAGTAGAGGAGTGGCGGAGAGAGTTCTGGGCATATTCTGCCCATTTCAAGAACACCGACCACTCCCCCTGCCATCCTGGTAGTAGGACCACAGGAACCTACCCACATCCTGATTTACCCGTTCCACCTGCCCATTTGACTCGGGGTGGAACCCAGAGGTCAGGCTAACCGAGAACCCCAGACGTTCCATGAACGCCTTCCAAACCTTGGACGTGAACTGGGGACCTCGGTTGTACATTATATCCTCTGGCACCCCGTAGTGCCGGAAGACGTGAGTAAACAGGGCCTCCGCAGTCTGCAGGGCCGTGGGGAGACCGGGCAGAGGAAGGAGGCGGCAGGACTTGGAAAAGCGGTCCACAACGACCAGGATGGTGGTGTTACCTTAGGAGAGGGGAAAATCAGTCAATAAATCAACACTAAGGTGAGACCATAGTCGTTGAGGAACTGGTAAAGGTTGGAACTTACCCGTTGGAGGTGCCTAGGTGCCTTACTCTGGGCGCACACCAAGCAGGAGGAGACGTACATCCTCACGTCCTTAGCCAAGGTAGGCCACCAGTACTTTCCGATCAGGCAGCGCACTGTACGACCGATACCTGGGTGACCAGAGGAGGGGGACGTGTGTGCCCAGAACATCAGCCGATCACGGATAAGAGCAGGCACGTACCGCAGCCCAGCTGGACACTGAGGTGGAGATGGATCTGTGCGTAATGCCTGCTCTATATCCGCGTCCATCGCCCATACTACCGCCGCCACAATGCAGGAGGCCGGGAGTGTTGTCTCTGGGCCTCTCCTCTGTGTCATACAGCCGGGACAGTGCGTCTACCTTCACGTTCTTCGTACCCGGAATGTATGACAGTGTAAAATCAAACCAGGTAAAGAATAGGGCCCACCTGGCCTGGCGAGGATTCAGCCTCCTCGCTGCCCCGATGTACTCCAGGTTATGGTGGTCCGTCCAGACAAGGGAAGGGTGTTTCGCCCCTTCGAGCCAATGCCTCCACACAGTCAAAGCTCGGACAACAGCCAACAGCTCACGATCACCAACGTCGTAGTTCTGCTCCGCCGGGCTGAGCTTCTTAGAGAAGAAGGCACAGGGGCGGAGCTTGGGTGGCGTGCCCGAGCGTTGGGATAGGACAGCGCCTATCCCTACCTCGGACGCATCCACCTCCACTACGAACGGTAGTGATGGATCGGGGTGGGCCAGTACCGGGGCTGAGGTGAACAGACCCCGCAGTCTCCTGAAGGCCACGTCAGCCTCATTAGACCAGGGGAGCCGGGACGGCCCACCCTTCAACAGGGATGTAATGGGAGCTGCGACCTTGCCAAAGCCCCGGATAAACCTCCAATAGTAGTTGCCAAAGCCAAGGAAGCGCTGCACCTCCTTAACCATGGTTGGAGTCTGTCAATTACGCACGGCTGAAATGCCATCTCTACACCTGAGGTGGTAATTTAGTCGCCTGTGTCTTAGAAAACGCGTGCACCAGATCATGGTATTCGGGGGGAATGCGCACGGTGGAGGTACCGTCTGAACTTTCCACTGTGGTTGCACCAACGGAAACACCTAGACACCTACCCTGACACTCTCGCGACCACCCCTTGAGAACCCTCTGCGGCCATGAGAAGGTGGGGTTGTGAAGTGCTAGCCAAGGGATACCTAATACCACTGGGATCTGAGTTGTCCGGGGTGGAAACGGGAAGACCCCTACCAGGACGTCCTCTGGCTGCCAGCAGGTTGTCCAAATGGATGGCCATGTCCACCAATTTTGTGAAAGACAACATGGTGTCCCGGCAGGCTAGCTCCCGTCTGACGTCCTCCCGCAGATGGCACCGGAAATGGTCGATCAGGGCCCACTCGTTCCAGCCAGAGTCGGAAACTGTGTGTGATAGAAGGAGTCAGAAGAGAGAGAAAGACAATAGTTGAACAGTTTTGAACAAATTAATTTCTTAAAAAATGAAGGAGAAGCAAGAGAGAGAGAGAGTTATTTTTTTCAGTTTCACTTAACTAGCTAGCAAATGCACCTAGCTAGTTTAGCCTACTCAACCAACCTGCTCAAACAGAGGGATTATATGTTAACTAGCTGGCTATGACTATCCAACACAACACTGGAACTCTTCCAAGTCAAGGTAAGCTTTTGGTTTTACTAATTTATTGCCACAGGGGCCCGCCGGTGTAACTGCTAAACTGCTTACTGACTATACACTGTATCGTTACTGCATGATTTTAGTGGGTTTACTAACGCGTTAGTTCTATTAGCTATGTTGACTATGACTTTACTTTAGCTAATATGGTGACAACGATGTAGGCTGTGTGTAGCGGTCATGATATGGTTTGTAAAGTTTTTTTTGCTTGGTCACATACAGTTGATGTGTTGTGCATTGAAGTCCACAAACGACGAGAAAAGGTGAGAGGGGGACAGCGCATAGATACGAGAAGGAATACAATGTGGCTGCTATGAAAGTGAACTGTGTTTATGCGTGATCAGGGGTTTATTCATTCCGCTGATTCTGTTGAAAAACATTTCTTAAACGGAAGCAAACGGAACGAAACGGGGATAAACATACCTGAATTTGGCCAATAGAAACTCTCGCTTGCAACTGTTGGACTAATGTTTACCCCCTAGATCAGCTACATTTTTCTCTCGACCTGTGTGCACCTACGTTGTAAACTTTCATTCATAGGCTAGGTTGTAGCAACCTCATGATGGGTATAAGGGAAATTAGAGTATCATGTAGTAGCCTAAACATATCGGTGTTACATTGAACTGGGTGAATGGAACAAAAAAATATATAATCTTAAACGGCAAGCAGGAGTGAGAGAGAGCGCTTTCAATTTTGTGCAGATACAGTATGGGATATACATTTTAAAATAAATTATAAATATAGTTGTATTTATTTAATGTCCTATCATGATGGAACGGTCTCCAACCCTATACCCTAGACACCCACCTGAGCGACCCACACACTGAGAAGTCCTTATCTGTTTTATAGGCCTACTGCAAGTAGCCTATACGCAGCCAAGACAGAACGATAAACACGGTCAGAGACCCACTAAAGCAGCACTGCCCCCTCAAGAGTCTGAGCCTGCCTGGCAGGGTTGGTCCAACAAAGCCAAAGCCCCCGGATGGAAATTTCTCAAATAATTTCTCAAAGCTGCTGATGAGAACCTTTATGACCTTGTACCTTGCCGCTGGGAATTTGGGTGCGGTGCCCCCACCCAGGTAGTAGCAGTGCTGACAACACTAGCTGCAGTAACCCATGGGGAGGGGATCACACTCATACAATCAGAGAGGGGGGGAAATTATTGTGGCCCTGGTGGCACAAAATAATCAAAAGGTCTGACTGCACAGAGATGCTTGGGGAAATGGTCACAACGGGGGACCAGTGTGTGTGTTTCAGGGTAGGGGGGTGTATCTGAGCTCCATCAGCTAGGACTTGACATTGGTTAATCAAATCTCCCCATTCTTGCTCAATTTTACATGCCTTCTCAAACAGCTACAGCTGTATATACATTCACACATCAAGTCTTCTCTTGATTTGGGCTCGGAGATGGAACAACTGTTGAACATCTGAGCTTGTGGTTGTTTGTGGGGGAAGGGTGGGGAGTGTGTTTGAGTGTGTGGGTGTGTGTGTGTGTGTGTGTGTGTGTGTGTGTGTGTGTGTGTGTGTGTGTGTGTGTGTGTGTATGTATCCCACATCTGTTGCTATGGGGTAATGATGTTAGGGACAGTACAGGATGAATCTAAGTAATTTTTTGCGAAAAGAATAATTGCTTGCCAAAAATGTAATTTTTTTAATGCCAATCCTGGTTATAGGTAACAATCCTTTGTATGAACTGCCTACATTATTACGCATATTATTTATATCATTTTTGTAGCTGTATACAATCGAGGTGAGGTCGTTGGAAATACCTTTTGGCAGTTAATCTGCTTCTGTTCTGTGGGTGGCACTGTGTGCTCTTTTTAAAGGATGGGTCCCAATCTCTCAAAGGCCCTAGGATACAGGGTGGACAGGGGTGGTCTGCTAGTCACTGGGACGACAATCCAATTTGGGATAGGGGGAGGTTTTAGCGGGTAGAATAGTGGAGAACAATTGGAGGTTTACTCAGTAGCAGTGCAAATACCATGGTACAGCTATATGGACACTCAATCATTATGGTTATTTTTAATGGTAAGTTTACAAACATATATTATGATAAATAGAATTGAAACTTGTATCTCATTATGGTAAATGGTGAAGTAAATATAGCCAGTTATAAATGTAATGGCTTAGCAGATAATAAGAAAAGATGATCAGTATTTACCTGGATAAAAGAAAGGTGAAATAATATTTATCGTTTACAGGAAAAAGACTGGTGGAGGTTGGGGGGGTGTGGGGGGGGGGGGGGGGGTGGGTGGGGGGGGGGGGGGGGGTGGTGGGGGGGGGGGGGGGGGGGTAGGGGGGGGGGGTGGGGGGGGGGGGGGGGGGGGGGGGGGGGGTATACTTCTCCCATGGTCAAAGAAACTCAAAAGAGGTGATGATATTAATTAACAATTGTGATCCGAATGTACAAATTGTTCAAACAGATCCGCAAGGTAGATGGATTATTTTAAATAGGTTGTTCGACCATAAACAGATTTGGCTCATTAATGTATATAGTCAAATAATGATTATCCACGCTTCTTTTAAAATATATACAGTATCTCACAAAAGTGAGTACACCCCTCACATTTTTGTAAATATTTGAGTATATCTTTTCATGTGACAACACTGAAGAAATGACACTTTGCTACAATGTAAAGTAGTGAGTGTACAGCTTGTATAACAGTGTAGTTTACTGTCCCCTCAAAATAACTCAACACACAGCCATTAATGTCTAAACCGCTGGCAACAAAAGTGAATACACCCCTAAGTGAAAATGTCCAAATTGGGCCCAATTAGCCATTTTCCCTCCATGGTGTCATGTGACTTGTTAGTGTTACAAGGTCTCAGGTGTGAATGGGGAGCAGGTGTGTTACATGTATACTGGTCACTGGAAGTTCAACATGGCACCTCATGGCAAAGAACTCTCTGAGGATCTGAAAAAAAGAATTGTTGCTCTACATAAAGATGGCCTGGGCTATAAGAAGATTGCCAAGACCCTGAAACTGAGCTGCAGCACGGTGGCCAAGACCATACAGTGGTTTAACAGGACAGGTTCCACTCAGAACAGCCCTCGCCATGGTCGACCAAAGAAGTTGAGTGCACGTGCTCAGCGTCATATCCAGAGGTTGTCTTTGGGAAATAGACGTATGTGTGCTGCCAGCATTGCTGCAGAGGTTGAAGAGGTGGGGGGTCAGCCTGTCAGTGCTCAGACCATATGCCGCACACTGCATCAAATTGGTCTGCATGGCTGTCGTCCCAGAAGTAAGCCTCTTCTAAAGATGATGCACAAGAAAGCCCGCAAACAGTTTGCTGAAGACAAGCAGACTAAGGACATGGATTACTGGAACCATGTCCTGTAGTCTGATGAGACCAAGATAAACTTATTTGGTTCAGATGGTGTCAAGCATGTGTGGCGGCAACCAGGTGAGGAGTACAAAGACAAGTTTGACTTGCCTACTGTCAAGCATGGTGGTGGGAGTGTCATGGTCTGGGGCTGCATGAGTGCTGCCGGCACTGGGGAGCTACAGTTCATTGAGGGAACCATGAATGCCAACATATACTGTGACATACTGAAGCAGAGCATGATCCCCTCCCTTCGGAGACTGGGCCGCAGGGCAGTATTCCAACATGATAACGACCCCAAACACACCTCCAAGACGACCACTGCCTTGCTAAAGAAGCTGAGGGTAAAGGTGATGGACTGGCCAAGCATGTCTCCAGACCTAAACCCTATTGAGCATCTGTGGGGCATCCTCAAACGGAAGGCGGAGGAGTGAAAGGTCTCTAACATCCACCAGCTCCGTGATGTCGTCATGGAGGAGTGGAAGAGGACTCCAGTGGCAACCTGTGAAGCTCTGGTGAACTCCATGCCCAAGAGGGTTAAGGCAGTGCTGGAAAATGATGGTGGCCACACAAAATATTGACACTTTGGGCCCAATTTGGACATTTTCACATAGGGGTGTACTCACTTTTGTTGCCAGCGGTATAGACATTAATGGCTGTGTGTTGAGTTATTTTGAGGGGACAGCAAATTTACACTGTTATACAAGCTGTGCACTCACTACTTTACATTTTAGCAAAATGTCATTTCTACACATGAAAATATATACTCAAATATTTACAGAAATGTGAGTGGTGTACTCACTTCTGTGAGATACTGTATATAATAATGTATCAAGCCTACAAGCAACAAAATACTCTATTATTATGGTGGGAGATTATAATACGGTTTTAAATACCTCAATGGACCGTAAAGGAAATCACACTACAAACTATCACCCATATGCACTTAAGGAAATCATGAATATCATGGATATATTGGAAATAGTGGATTAAATGGATTAAATGGTTTTTCCCCCTCATCAATCGACACACAATACCCCATAATGACAAAGCAAAAACAGGTTTATAGAAAATGTTTGGTCTCGGAGCTCTACGGACAATTTCTTCAACCTCATGGCTTGGTTTTTGCATGGACATGCACTGTCAACTGTGGGACCTTATATAGACAGGTAGGTGCCTTTCCAAATCATGTCCAATCAATTGAATTTACCACAGGTGGACTCCAATCAAGTTGTAGAAACATCTCAAGGATGATCAATGGAAACAGGATGCACCTGAGCTCAATTTCCAGTCTCATAGCAAAGGGTCTGAATACTTATACACTGCTCAAAAAAATAAAGGGAACACTTAAACAACACATCCTAGATCTGAATGAATGAAATAATCTTATTAAATACTTTTTTCTTTACATAGTTGAATGTGCTGACAACAAAATCACACAAAAATTATCAATGGAAATCAAATTTATCAACCCATGGAGGTCTGGATTTGGAGTCACCCTCAAAATTAAAGTGGAAAACCACACTACAGGCTGATCCAACTTTGATGTAATGTCCTTAAAAGAAGTCAAAATGAGGCTCAGTAGTGTGTGTGGCCTCAACGTGCCTGTATGACCTCCCTACATCGCCAGGGCATGCTCCTGATGAGGTGGCGGATGGTCTCCTGAGGGATCTCCTCCCAGACCTGGACTAAAGCATCCTCCAACTCCTGGACAGTCTGTGGTGCAACGTGGCGTTGGTGGATGTGCTCAATTGGATTCAGGTCTGGGGAACGGGCGGGCCAGTCCATAGTATCAATGCCTTCCCCTTGCAGGAACTGCTGACACACTCCAGCCACATGTGGTCTAGCATTGTCTTGCATTAGGAGGAACGCAGGGCCAACCGCACCAGCATATGGTCTCACAAGGGGTCTGAGGATCTCATCTCGGTACCTAATGGCAGTCAGGCTACCTCTGGAGAGCACATGGAGGCCCCCCAAAGAAATGCCACCCCACACCATGACTGACCCACCGCCAAACCGGTCATGCTGGAGGATGTTGCAGGCAGCAGAACGTTCTCCACGGCGTCTCCAGACTCTGTCACGTCTGTCACATGTGCTCAGTGTGAACCTGCTTTCATCTGTGAAGAGCACAGGGCGCCAGTGGCGAATTTGCCAATCTTGGTGTTCTCTGGCAAATGCCAAACGTCCTGCACGGTGTTGGGCTGTAAGCACAACCCCCACCTGTGGATGTCGGGCCCTCATACCACCCTCATGGAGTCTGTTTCTGACCGTTTGAGCAGACACATGCACATTTGTGGCCTGCTGGAGGTCATTTTGCAGGGCTCTGGCAGTGCTCCTCCTGCTCCTCCTTGCACAAAGGCGGAGGTAGCGGTCCTGCTGCTGGGTTGTTGCCCTCCTACGGCCTCCTCCACGTCTCCTGATGTACTGGCCTGTCTCCTGGTAGCGCCTCCATGCTCTGGACACTACGCTGACAGACACAGCAAACCTTCTTGCCACAGCTCGCATTGATGTGCCATCCTGGATGAGCTGCACTACCTGAGCCACTTGTGTGGGTTGTAGACTCCGTCTCATGCTACCACTAGAGTGAAAGCACCGCCAGCATTCAAAAGTGACCAAAACATCAGCCAGGAAGCATAGGAACTGAGAAGTGGTCTGTGGTCACCACCTGCAGAACCACTTCTTTATTGGGGGTGTCTTGCTAATTGCCTATAATTCCCACCTGTTGTCTATTCTATTTGCACAACAGCATGTGAAATGTACTGTCAATCAGTGTTGCTTCCTAAGTGGACAGTTTGATTTCACAGAAGTGTGATTGACTTGGAGTTACATTGTGTTGTTTAAGTGTTCCCTTTATTTTTTTGAGCAGTGTATAAACAAGGTATTTTATTTTTAATGTTTTATACATTTGCAAACATTTCTAAAAACCAGTTTTTGCTTTGTCATTATAGGGTATACATGGTGGAGGCTCAATCAAGCTAGTCGTCTTGACTACTTTCTTATGTCATTCTCGCTGGCACCAAAAGCTTAAAAAGTGTTGATACGGGACAGAATGGTCCAACCGTCAAATAATTGGCATGTACATTACTCTTACAGAATTTCCACGTGGGTGAGGATATTGGAAATGTAATCAAAGCCTATTGGATGACAATTTGTTTTTAACCAGGACAGAATAATTTATAACTGACATTCTCCGACATAATATAGGTAATGTAAAATTAAAAGCTGTACAGAAAGACTCATGTGAAGGCCAAATTACATAGGAGGAACTTATTGATGCAATTAAAGACTTTATGTCCAAGAAAACTCCAGGGCTGGATGCCATACCAGTTGAGATATACCAAACCTTTTTAGATGTACTCAGAGGACCGTTATTAGCATGTTTTAACCACTCCTATAAAAATGGTAGATTATCACATATTCAACAAGATGGTCTGATTTCATTATTACTGAAACAGGACCCAAGTGGTAAATATAAAGATCCAGTTCATTTAAAAAATTGGAGTCCCCTTACACTTCAGTGTTGTGATGCAAAAATTATAGCAAAATGCATAGGGAATAGAATTAAAAAGGTATTGTCTGATATTCTTCATCCTAATCAGACAGGATTTTTACATGGTCGATACATTGGAGATAATATAAGACGAGTACTGGAAACACTATGAAAAATCTGGGAAACCAGGTCTGGTATTCATAGCTGACTTTGAAAAGGCTTTTGATAAAGTACGACTGGAATTTATATATAAACACCTGGAATATTTCAATTTTGGAGAATCTCTTATACAATGGGTTAAAGTTATGTATAATAACCCTAGGTGTAAAATAGTAAATAATGGCTACTTCTCAGAAAGTATTAAACTGGTAAGAGGTTGTCAAGGTTGTCCACTATCGGCATATCTATTTATTATGGCCATTGAAATGTCAGCTATTAAAATCAGATCCAACAATAATATCAAGGGGCTAGAAATCCAGGGCTTAAAACCAAAGGTTTCATTGTACGCTGATGATTCATGTTTACTTTTAAATCCACAATTTGGATCCCTCCACAGTCTCATAGAGGATCTAGATAATTTTTCTAACCTCTCTGGTTTACAACCAAATTATGATAAGTGTACTATATTACATATTGGATCACAAAAAAATACAACTTTTATATTACGGTGTAGTTTAACAATAAAATGGTCTGACGGTGAAGTGGACATACTGGGTATTCATATCGCGAAATAAATAAATAATCTCACTACAATGTATTTTAATAGAAAGCTAGCAAATATAGATAAGATCTTGCTACCATGGAAGGAAAATACCTGTCTATTTGTGGAAAAATCATCCTGAATAACTCTTTAGTCATATCCCAGTTTACCTATTTGCTTATGGCCTTGCCTACACCTAGCAACTTGTTTTGTAAATTATATGAGCAACAAATATTCCATTTTATTTGGAACGGCAAGCCAGAAAAAATTTAACTGGCCTATTTATATAATTAATATGAATTCGGAGGGCAGAAATGATTAAATATAAACCCTCCCGTTGTCCTGGTATTCTGTACACACGCCGTGCCCTCCGGGTCGAACTGTCCCCCTCTCACTAAAGGCCCAATTGGAACATGTGGGACAGTATGCGTGCGAACAGCCTTTGCAGATGTATTTGTTACACCTGGTGCACACAGTATGTGTTTTACAGTCCTTCTTTGTGGGGCAGACCTGACACCTCTTCCTCTTACTGGGTTGTGCGGGGTCGGGTGCTTGGGCCGGTGCGTGGGCCGGTGCGTGGGCCGGTGCGGCGGGGGCGTGATCCCGGGGCTGATCACGATACGTAGCCCTCTGAACAGCTTTGACGAGCGCCGCAGAGGCTTCGGTGCGAGGGAGACGGGCCCTTCTTTGTATGAACGGAGTCACTAGTGCCTTTCCCAGCTGCTCGAGGAACACCCTCCTCTTGTTTCGCTTACCAGGCATCCAAGTAGGGTTGAGCTCTCGCAATATGACAAAAGTGTTGTAGGAGGACACATCAAGGATGTTATGGAAGATGACCAGGGGCCAGCGGGCGGTCATCCTCCTGCAGCTGTAGGTTCCAATCACCTTGTCTAGGTTGTCCACACCTCCCTTGTTGCTGTTGTAGTCTAGGACGATGGCCGGCTTCTTGTCCTGGCGACGGCTAACGTGAGCCTCGGTGTGCAGCGTGCTCAGGAGTAAGACGTTCTTGTTTTTCTTTGGCAGGTAGGACACTAGAGCGGTGGTGGGCGTGAAGGCGAACTTGGAGGAGAAGAGGAGCCTGTCCTTTGAGGCGAGCAGCGCCGGCGGGAGCTCTGGCTTGTTCTTTCTGACTGTGCCGACCACGGTGACGTTCCTCCTCAGGAGCTGGCGCGCGAGCTCGTATGAGGTGAAGAAATTGTCGCAGGTGACATTGTGACCCCTGAGTCCCTGCGTCAAATCGAGCACGACCCTCATCCCCTGGATCTTCTTGGGGCCTCCGCAGGTGGCCTTCCCGGTGTAGACCTGCATCTTCCAGGCGTAGCTGGATTTGGAGTCGCAGGCCACCCAGGTCTTGATGCCGTATTTGGCCGGCTTGCTTGGAATATACTGGCAGAAAGGACATCGGCCTGGAGGAGAGAGAGAGAGAGAGAGAGAGAGAGAGAGAGAGAGAGAGAGAGAGAGAGAGAGAGAGAGAGAGAGAGAGAGAGAGAGAGAGAGAGAGAGAGAGAGAGAGAGAGAGAGAGAGAGAGAGAGAGAGAGGAAGGAAAGAGAAGAGATTAGCTTTAGCGTGTTGTGTTGTGTACGGTGTTGTTGTGCTCTTGTACGGTGTTGTTGGCCCGGCCCACCTCTGAAAGGGACCAGTTGCTCGTCCACCGTCACGTCAGGCCCGGGGTTGTAGAGGAGCGGCAGCCTCTCGACCCACTTGTCCCAGACCTCTCTCACGGCCGCAAGTTTGTCACCACCGCCTGCTGCGCGTCTCTCGGCTCTGGTCTGGCGGTCGTCGAAGCGAAGGAGTCTCGAGTAAGCGTGAAAGACTTTGAGCGGCATGGTTGCGTGGAAAATGGTCCTCCCGCTCTCAGCGTCCCAGAGACTAGAGGCTGCTTCGCCTCGGGACCTGTACACGCCGGCTAGGATGAGCAGCCCTGCGTAGGCTCGCAGTTCGGTGGAGTCCATCGCTTTCCAGCGGCCGCGGCGGTCGCGGTCGTGGTCTTCGTGGTCGTCGGCGTAGTGGCGGTGGTCGTCGTCGCCGCAGCCGTCGCCGTCGCCTCGGGCTCCGTATTTTCGAACGCACTCCAGATTGGTCATCTCCAGGATGATGTCTTCTATCTCCGGTGTGAAAAACAGGCGGAACGTGGAGAGGATGTCGCGGGCTTGGCCTACGGCCTGCCTAGTAGGCCCGGGCCTCATGTCCTCTGGCACCTCAGCAACCGGCCTGTTACTTTTTGCCGCTGCGGCGGCCCCTCTGACGCCCCGATTGTTGTCACAGGGCACCGAGCACCATTGGATTTGGCCGTTTCTCGACACGAATGTCTCTCTTTCCACTCGAGGGATATCGTGTTGTGGTCGGGGGCTGAGGCGGCGGCGGCGGCGGCGGCGGCAGCGGTCTCCTCGCTCTCCTTCACCTTCCCCTTGTTCTTCTTCTTCTCCTTCTTCTTCTTCTTCTTGGTCATCGTCGTCGTCGTTGTCATCGTCGTCATCGTCTCGTTCGTCTTCTACGCCTTGGCCTTCTTCTACTTGGGCGTCGTCCTCGTCGGCGGCGGCGGCGGCGGCGTCGTCGTAGTCGTCCTCGTCCTCGGCGGTCTCCTCGTCCTCTGGGTTGTATTCCTCCCCGTCTTCTTCTTCGGACGCTTCCTCCTCCGCTTCCTCGTCGCAGTCAGAGTCATTGGAAAATATATGTTCTAGGACCTGTTTGGCCGTGAAACGCACAGCACTCATAATAGCTTCGGCACCCAGGCTGGGGAAGTCCCCAAGACCTCTCTTTGGGACGTGTCCGGACATGCCACGAGGCAATATTATTATTATTATTATTATTATTATTATTATTAGTAGTAGTAGTAGTAGTTGTAGTTGTAGTTGTAGTTGTAGTTGTAGTTGTTCTTGGTGTTGGTGTTTGTTTACGGCTTACCTACTACCTCTGGCTCAGAGCTTATGCCTCTAACGCGTAGCCTGGGTTGTTTTGACCCCGGTGGCAGGACAGGACAGGACAACGCTAGGGGTTATACAGCCACTCGCTCTAACACGTAGGCTCTGACACGTAGCCTGGGTCTTTTTGACCCCAGCCAGGACAGGACAACGCTAGGGGTTATACTACCACTCGTTCTAACACTCTGACACGTAGCCTGTGCCGTTTTGACCTCGGACAGGACAGGACAGGACAACGCTAGGGGTTATACAGCCACTCGCTCTAACACTCTAACACGTAGCCTGGGTCTTTTTGACCCGGACAGGACAGCGGGAGGGGATATACAGCCACTAGCTCTAACACGTAGGCTCTGACACGTAGCCTGGGTCGTTTTGACCCCGGCCAGGACAGGACAACGCTAGGGGTTATACAGCCACTCGCTCTAACACTCTGACACGTAGCCTGGGTCATTTTGACCCCGGACAGGACAGGACAACGTTAGGGGTTATACAGCCACTCGCTCTAACACTCTAACACGTAGCCTGGGTCTTTTTGACCCGGACAGGACAGCGGGAGGGGATATACAGCCACTCGCTCTAACACGTAGGCTCTGACATGTAGCCTGGGCCGTTTTGACCCCAGCCAGGACAGGACAGGACAACGCTAGGGGTTATACAGCCACTCGCTCTAACACTCTGACACATAGCCTGGGTCTTTTTGACCCAGACAGGACAGGACAACGCTAGGGGTTATACAGCCACTCGCTCTAACACGTAGGCTCTGACACGTAGCCTGGGTCTTTTTGACCCGGACAGGACAGCGGGAGGGGATATACAGCAACTCGCTCTAACACGTAGGCTCTGACACGTAGCCTGGGCCGTTTTGACCCCAGCCAGGACAGGACAACGCTAGGGGTTATACAACCACTCCCTCTAACACGTATGCACTGACACGTAGCCTGGGCCGTTTTGACCCCAGCCAGGACAGGACAGGACAACGCTAGGGGTTATACAGCCACTCGCTCTAACACGTAGGCTCTGACACGTACCCTGGGTCTTTTTGACCTGGACAGGACAACGCTAGGGGTTATACAGCCACTCGCTCTAACATGTAGGCACTGACACGTAGCCTGGGTCATTTTGACCCCGGACAGGACAGGACAACGCTAGGGGCTATACAGCCACTCGCTCTAACACGTAGCCTGGGTCATTTTGACCCCGGACAGGACAGGACAACGCTAGGGGTTATACAGCCACTCACTCTAACACGTAGCCTGGGTCATTTTGACCCGGACAGGACAAGGGAGGGTTAAAACATTAGACCGCTCACTAAAGGCTTCAGTCATACGAAAGTTATACTTAAATCCGAACTGGTTCTCTAGCAGATTAGTAAGAATGTCTCACCTGTCACGCCCTGACTCAGGGGACTCTTATATGTTGAGTCAGGGTGTGTATATTCTATGTTGTGTATATCTATGTGTAATATCTAGTATGTGTAGATCTATGTTGGCCGGTGTGGTTCCCAATCAGAGGCAGCTGTCGCTCGTTGTCTCTGATTGGGGATCATACTTAGGCAGCCTGTTGGCATGCGGTAGTTGTGGGATCTTGTTCCGTGTTAGAGGCTTGTATTGTAGCTTAGTGGTTAAGAGCGTTGTGCCAGTAACCGAAAGGTCGCTGGTACTAATCCCCGAGCCGTCTAGGTGAAAAATCTGTCGATGTGCCCTTGAGCAAGGCACTTAACCCTAATTGCTCCTGTAAGTCGCTCTGGACAAGAGCGTCTGCTAAATGACAAAAAAAAAATATATATATATATATATAAAAAATATTGTGTATAGCCTTAGGACTTCACATTTCGTTGGTTTGTTGTTTTGTTCGTGTGTTTATCGGTGAAATAAACATGTACGCATTTCACGCTGCGCCTTGGTTTGACCCGTCCTTAAACGAACATGACATCACCCCATGTTCAAGAATGGACTTTTCCTGTTTATTCCGATTACAACCTCTCACTTTCAATTAATTGAAAATGAAATCATCTCCAAAATATCGCTATTTTTAAAACAAGCCATAGGAAGTAGGTTCCAATTTCAGTTTAATCCACTATAAAAGACAGAACAAATATTACAACAAACAATATGGTTAAACTCAAATATACTAATTGAAAATATATATATATATATATCATAAATAAGATTGGTGGAGTTAAGTCACACATGCAGCTAACAAAAATATATGGAAACATCTGCTCTACTCAAAATTACAACCAACTAATTGCAGCATTACCACAAAAATGGAAGAGGCAAGTGGAAGAGGGAGAAAGTAAGGAACTTGTCTGTCGGCCCTGCATTAAAGACCAACATTGGTTAAAGAAAATTGTGATAAATAAAAAAGTATAACAGTTAATTTATTAAGGACTAAAAAATTGACAGGTGTGCCATATAGATTGCAAAAATAGTTGGGAAGAGGTTTTCGATGTACTGATTCCATGGCACATGGTTTATGAACTGATACACAAAACGACGCTGGATTCAAAACTTTGAGTTTTTCAATTTAAATTATTACACAAAATTCTTGCAACCAATAGAATGTTATATATATATATATATATATATATATATATATATATATATGGGGGATACAACCATCCAAACTCTGCAGATTTTGCTGCGAAGAGACAGAATCATTAGTTCATTTTCTTTGGTACTGTCCATATGTAGCTTGTTTTTGGTCGCAGGTTCAGGAATGGTTAAAGAATTGCAACATTTACCTGGAGCTAACTCTTGCAAATAGCACTGCTGGGTGATTTAAAAAGTAATTGTCAATCAATCAATAATATAATAATACTATTAGCAAAAATGTTTATTTTAAATTTACAAAATGTATATAATTTATTTTTATTTACTCTTAGCAATAATGTTTATCTTTACTTTATAATCTAATAATTTACAACATTTAGAAACTATGAGAATAGAAAAGTTCAGAACTTTTGTGAAACATCACAGCACAGTTGAAAAATATATGGCAAATAGAAATCAAAACTGGATGGTGGTCAGACATAGATGGGAAAAGTGGAGTTGAATGGTCGGACAAAAATTCACAACATAACTCATGTAAAATATACTTTGTCCGTAAAATGTATATAGGCTCAGAACTTTTGTGAAAAATATATGGCAAATAAAAACGGTATGGTCTTCAGAGATAGATGGGAGGGGTTGAGGGTAGCTGAAGGATGGAACTAAAAACAAACAAAAGATAACTAAAATATACTGTGTCCGTAAAATGCTCCCGAGTGGCGCAGTGGTCTAAGGCACTGCATCGCAGTGCTAGCTGTGCCACTAGAGATCCTGGTTCGAATCCAGGCTCTGTCGTGGCTGGCCGTGACCAGGAGACCCATGGGGAGGCGCACAATTGGCCCAGCGTCGTCCAAGGTAGGGGAGGGAATGGCCGGCAGGGATGTAGCTCAGTTGGTATAGCATGGTGTTTGCAACGCCAGGGTTGTGGGTTCGATTCCCATGGGGGGCCAGTATTTAAAAAATAATGCATGCACTCACTAACTGTAAGTCGCTCTGGATAAGAGCGTCTGATAAATGACTAAAATGTAAATGTATATATGTAGAAGCCTAAGTGTTGCTACCTGACCTGATGACCCCTGGCTGTCCCCAGTCCACCTGGTTATGCTGCTGCTCCAGTGTCAACTGTTCTGCCTGCGGCTAGGGAACTCTGTCCTCTTCACTGGACTTGGTACCTTGTCCCGGACCTGCTGTTTTCGACTCTCTCTCTCTCTCTCTCTCTCTCTCTCTCTCTCTCTCTCTCTCTCTCTCTCTCTCTCTCTCTCTCTCTCTCTCTCTCTCTCTCTCTCTCTCTCTCTCGCAGCTGCTGTCTTGACCTCTGAATGCTCGGATATCAAAAGACTGACAGTTACTCCTGAGGTACTGACCTGTTGCACCCTCCACAACCACTGTGATTATTATTTGACCCTGCTGGTCATCTATGGACGTTTGATCATCTTGAAGAACAATCTGGCCTTAAATGGCCATGTACAGTGGCTTGCGAAAGTATTCACCCCCTTGGCATTTTTCCTATTTTGTTGCCTTACAACCTGGAATTAAAATGGATTTTTTGGGGGTTTGTATCATTTGATTTACACAACATGCCTACCACTTTGAAGATGCAACATATATTTTATTGTGAAACAAACAAGAAATAAGACCAAAAAACTGAAAACTTGAGCGTGCATAACTATTCACCCCCCCCAAAGTTAATACTTTGTAGAGCCACCTTTTGCATCAATTACAGCTGCAAGTCTCTTGGGGTATGTCTCTATAAGCTTAGCACATCTAGCCACTGGGATTTTTGCCCATTCTTCAAGGCAAAACTGCTCCAGCTCCTTCAAGTTGGATGGGTTCTGCTGGTGTACAGCAATCTTTAAGTCATACCACAGATTCTCAATTGGATTGAGGTCTGGGCTTTGACTAGGCCATTCCAATACATTTAAATGTTTCCCTTTAAACCACTCAAGTGTTGCTTTAGCAGTATGCTTAGGGTCATTATCCTGCTGGAAGGTGAACCTCCGTCCCAGTCTCAAATCTCTGGAAGACTAAAACAGGTTTCCCTCAAGAATTTCCCTGTATTTAGCGCCATCCGTCATTCCTTAATTTCTGACCAGTTTCCCAGTCCCTGCCGATGAAAAACATCACCACAGCATGATGCTGCCACCACCATGCTTCACTGTTGGGATGGTGTTCTCGGGGTGATGAGAGGTGTTGGGTTTGCGCCAGACACAGCGCTTTCCTTGATGGCCAAAAAGCTCAATTTTTAGTCTCATCTGACCAGAGCACCTTCTTCCATATGTTTGGGGATTCTCCCACATGCCTTTTGGC